CTGAAGTTTTATGTTCTGCAATAGCTGCGGAGGTTGTTTGGGTGCTTCTGTCATTAGCTCAGCTCACATCTTCTCTTCTTCTTCTTCTTCTTCTTCTTCATTTTTTTTTTTGTGCTTTGATGTACTGCCCTTTTCTTCTTTATTTGCTGTTAATGCTTGATAAGTTATCTGCTGGTTTAGCCTCTTAAATGTGGTTTCCTATCTCTTTTTATTATAGGCAGGAGGGGCTGAATTTTTCTCTTTTCGGACAGCTTTGGAGGTTGCTTGGGTGCTTCTATAATTAACTCAGCTCGCTTCCTCTTTTCTACTATGTTTTTGTTTTTTTTTGGCTTTGAGGTACTGCCCTTATCTACTTTCATTCTTTCGCTTGCCCTGTTTGATTTAGATGACTGCCGTGTTTGCCATTTTGCCATTTTAGATTGGCTAATAGGTTTCCTGCTATAGCATAATTACTGCACCTTTCTCTTGCGTGATTACTTGATAAATGATATACTGCTTTACGCTATTTTGTTGTCAGATGCTTTTGCGTTTGACTTGGCTATTTTTCCTAAATCATTTAATGTTTTTTTTTTTTTAAGGATCCTGCACTTCTCACTTTCCTCTAGCGTGCTTGGCTAATAAATTCACAGCTGGATTAAGCTGTGTTGTTGAAAGAATTTTTTGCATTTAACATGGGTCTTTTTCCTAAATTGTTTACTGTCTCTTTGAATTTTATTTCTTTAGTCAAGGATCCTGCACTTCTCACCTTTCTCCTGTGCGTTTTTGTTGATTAAACTATGGTTGGATTATGCTTCGTTGTGGGCAGAGGCTTTTAAGTTTAACTTTGTTCTTTCCTTGATTGTTTGGTTTACCCCCTTTTTTTTAATCAAGGATACTCCGCTACTTTCTTCTATGGAAAATCTCCAGCACCTTTTTCTTGCGTGTTTGGTTGATAAATTTGAAGCTTGCTTATGTTGTATTGTTAGCAGCAGCTATTACAAAGAACTTGGTTTAATTTCTTACATGGCTTGGTGCTTCTTTTGTGTTTTATTTTTTTGATGAAGGATCTTGCACTTCTTTGACACTATTGCATGCTTTTCCGAGATACATTTTGATCTTTCTATTCATGCTATTTGGATCATTTTTTTCTCTGGAATATGCTTGCCTTGTAAAATAAATGTTGTTACCTTGCCTTCAATACTGCCAGATTGAAGAGGCAGATGAGTTTTCCCTCTTCTTCTTTGGTTTTTTTCCTTTGAAATGTTGCCCTTTTCTTCTTTCATTATTGCCCTTGCGTTGTTTAAATTAAATGACTGTCGTGGTTTCAATGCTTCCATTTTAGATTTGCTAAAAGGGTTACTTCTATGTCAATGGTGATGCACCTATTTATTGTGGTTTTTTTGTGCTTTTATTCACAACTTTGTTGCAATGTGTTACTGACAACAGCTTTTGCAATGAACTTGGTTTTTTCCATTGCAGCAATTGGTGCTTCTTTTATTGTTATTTTTATTTTCTTCGAAGGATCCAATACTTTTTTCGTTATTTTTCATGATTTTCAGAGACAACATGTTCTCTCTTTTTCATGCTGGTCATTTTGGATTGGATGTATGCTTGCCCTTTAAAATTTATATGGTTACCTTGCTTTCAATGCTACCAGTTTTCATTGGGGGAGGGAATTTTTCTTTGTCGAAACTCTTTAGGCTTTCTCCTTAAAGATTCTGGTAGTTCATTTCAAAGATGGAATCAGCTTTGTGGCTCATTATATCTTTTAAAAACTGACTTGGTTGCTGCCTCATTGCATATTTGCAGAGGCACCTGTGCTTCTTTTGTTCTTTACTTTCATGCTCTTTTGCGATTGACTTGGTTTTTTTTTTAACATGTCGACTGCTGCTTCTTTACTGGTGTAATTGCTGAGGCTGTTTGCTTGCCATTGATTTATCTATTATGGGTGTTTTATTTGTGTGTGTATACATATATGCTTTGACAATTTTTTATTTAAAATGCCTCTAGTTATAACTCTTAGACCTTGCTTGCTGTCTCATTTGGAGGTTTTGCAGGGGTGCGTGGCATTGTATTCTTTCAAGCATCTTACAAGGCTCTTTTGGGTGGTTCCTTCTTCGGTTCTGCCCGCATTGCAATCAGCTTCTTTTCTTATGACAATATTAGGTGCTCACCCTTTCTTTCATTTTTATTTCTTTTTCGGTCTGACCTTTGGATTCATCCTCGCAGATTATGTAACCTGTGCAGCTTTTTAATTTTAAATTGGTCATTCTTATCTTAACATTTCGTGGCGTTATTAGGAACTCTAACCTTTTTTTGTGCGGCTCTCAGATACTTGCCATTACACTTTTGGTTATTAGCTTCAGCAATCTTTATATTTTGTGGTTGTTACTCATATCCTTATTTGTTTTGTTCAGCTCATTGTCGCACCTATATTTTTCTCAATTTCGGTGAAGGATCAATCAATAGATCATCTAGGCCCATGAATAAATTTTGTTATCTTGTTCCTACATAAAGATTTTTTTCCACCATTTAATTATACAGCTTTTTCTTATTGAAAGTCTTCACAATGACAAGTCGTCACCAACATCTTCAGCCTAGCTATGCCATTGAAACAAACCATTATCCTCCAGAAACTCTTGTTGGAATGTTTTATGCCCTTGACAACTCTTTCTGTTCTGACAACCCAACCTCTTCGAACACGCGAGTTACTCCTATACAAGTCTTTGGAAACCATGGCAGTAATGTTGGGTCCAGTTCTTTATCAACTTCTTTGGAGCTTACTCGAAACACCTGCTATCCTTGATATGCTTCTTGATCCTGATCATGGTCCCGAGTCCAAGAAATTTTGACATGATCTTAGAATTCAACGTTTGCTTTTACTTCAATGGGGGCTAAGATTGATCATGTTGTTAATTCCCAAATGGGATCATGTATGTGTCTTTAAAATAAGTGGCTACTGCCACCACCTCATGGGCTCAGTACTTTTGCCAATTGACAATCAACCATCAAGATTTGCACAATCCTACATCATTGACATTGAAAATGAAGTTAGCAATCGGCTTCATCCATTTAATTAGGATGACTCTCCATCGACTTTGAATGAGGATGTGGTTAACAGACTTATTACAATGCTTGATTCTTGCAACGAATTGGTTAGATTGTTGAGACAAGTTAGTCATAAGCTCAATGGAATTGATGGTCCTAATTTCAAGCTTCGGTTAGTTAGCAAAAGAGTTGGTGATTCAAGAGAATATGATGATCCTTCTGCCAATGGCATAGTTGGTTTGGTTGTCAAAGACTTTGGAGATTCTCAAGACTGATCGAGATATTATTGCTCAGAGTTTTTCATGCGGTTTGCAAAGAACATCAATAGTGCACCCAAAATTCATGTCTCTTCAATATTAATTTCTATTTCCTTATGGTGAAGATGGGTATCATAGTGCTGACATCACATTTGTAAACCAAGAACAACAACCGCGTGCAAAGCGTCAAAGGGTTACAATGAGAGCATGGCACGATTAACTCATTCATGAAAAGGATGGAGGCGATTGTACTCTGAGCAAGAGTGGTTGTCTGTGCCAACAATTTATGGTTAATGCATTTGTTAATGTTGAGCAGGAGCGGTTAATTTGATTATATTCATTCAAACCAAGATAATCTTAGGAGCGACGAAGGTTATGGAGGAATCCAAGAAGCTATTCTTAAACGGTTAATTTGATTATATTCATTCAAACCAAGATAATCTTAAGAGCGACGAAGCTTATGGAGGAATCCAAGAAGCTATTCTTAAAGGTAATAATAGCGGTTCAAGAACTGGGAAGGTTATCCTCCCATCTTCTTTGACTGGAAGCTCATGATACATGATAAGTAATTATCAAGATGCCATGACCATATACCGTTATTATAGCAATCCAGACCTGTTTATAACATTCACCTACAATGTCAATTGACCTGAGAGCAAGAGAGAGATTAAGAAAAAAAAAAGATTTATATAACAACTTGCTCAAATACATTTGCCATTGCAACATCAGGTTGTTTTCTCCGGAGATGATTCCCTCTCATCAATTCTTAGAAAACCAAGAATTAATAAAACAATGCTTACATATGGTTTAAACAGAACAGTAAAGATGTTGAAGCTTAGAGTCTTCATTATTCACAATTCCCTAATAAATATGTTTAGGATGCTGGGCAAAAGGAACGGGTAACCTAGGTAGGACACGTGGTTTATACCTTGATCGTGTTACATGTCTTCATCCTGCTGCCAGTGAATTGTATAATGTTAGGATGTTACTGATCCATGTTACAAGAGCAACAAGCTTTGAGGACCTACGTAGTCTTTCTAGGACAATCTATCCAACTTTTTAGCTTGCCTGTAAAGCTCTGGGCCTTCTAGGAGATGATAAAGAATGGAATGAGGTTTTTTCAGAGGTTATTGTAAAACATCGTCTTCACAACTAAGATAGCTATTTTTTAGCATAATTCTTTACTACGAGGTTGTTGATCCAAATGGTCTTCTTAATCAATTGTAGCGATCAATGTGTGATGATATCGAACACCAATTAAGAGTATGCCAAATATTTGTTTAACTGACGATGAGTTAATGAATTGCATGCACCATGAGCTTGAGTAACTCTTTAATGCTTTGGTGACATCTTAAAGATCATAAATTGTCGATGCCAAGTGGTGTTTTAATGGTCTATTGCCCATCTTTGGCACGTCTTAACTCATGTCAAAAGAGAGTTTACGATTTAGTTATGGAGTCCATTGCCCAAAACAAACAAAGCCTTCTATATGTTAATGACATGGTGGAACAGGAAAGAATTTTTTTGTGGCATGCAATAATTAATGATGTTAGATCAAAGGGTTTGATCGTTCTTATTGTTGCCTCATATGGGATTGCTTCTCTATTGCTTCCTGGTGGACATACAACCCATTCAAGATTTCAAATCCCTCTTGCCATAGATAAAAATCTAACAATCGAGAGTAAGATAAATACCCATCTTTCATGACTTATTGAGATGGCATCCCATACTGTACGGGATGATGAGGCTTTAATGAATAATCGATTCTCTTTTGAAGCATTGGATAGGTCATTATGTGATGTGCTGAAAGATGTCGGTGGAAGGTGCCCAGATGAACATTTCGGTGGGAAATCAATCTTGTTAAGTGGAGATTTTTGTCAGATTATTCTTGTTATCTCTGGTGGAACTAAGATGTTTTGGTTAGAAGTCCACGTGAACTGCAAGTCCAAGGTTTCAATGACCCAATTGCATCTATGGTTTCATGCATCTATCCTAACATTGAGCAACCTTAAGTTGATCCATCTTATTTCAAAGAAAGGGCGATCGATCGTTACACCCAAGAACATCATTGTTTCTGAGATCAATGATTTCATTTTTACTATCACACAGGGTCATCTGGAGATTTATCTCAACGCAAATTCTGTTGAAGCGCCTTTTGGTCATGGAAACAACACAGAATTATTATATCCAATTGAGTTTATAAATCAGCTTGAATTCAATGGTGTCCCTTCACACGCTCTTGCTTTGAAATTGGAGACACCAGTTATGTTGCTTGGGAACCTTAACCCAGCTGCAGGTCTATATAATGGAACAAGGCTCATCATCACAGAGCTTGCCAAATGAGTCATTAAGGCTCAAAGAATGACAGGAAACAACATGTGGGATAAAATCTTTACCTCAAGAATTATTTTCCCGGTTAATGATGCCAAATGCCTATTCACAATACTAAAAAAAAAAAAAAAAAGAAAAAAAAAAGACAATTTCCTTCAAGGATCTGCTATGCAATGACAATTAGCAAAAGCCAAAGACAATCATTAAAAATTGTTGGTGTCTTCTTAAAAGAACAAGCTTTTATGTATGGTTAGTTATATGTGGCGCTCTCAAGGGTTACATCCAAAAAGAGGTTGAATATCATATCTTGCGACAACGAAGGAAATCAATTCGATTGCGCCCAGAATGTTGTTTATAAGGATATCATAAGTGCACTTAGCTTGGACTAATTTTGCCTATTTCATTATGCTTTTTGTTTACTATTTTTATTATGATTTGTCATATTTTATTGCCTTCATAGATGAATCTTTGTACATTAATAATCTGTTTTTACCTTATAATACACTTGACATCTTTTCTGGTTGTGCAGATTGATTAAAATCCCTATGAAAAGCATTTAGAAGTATCACTTCTATTCATTGATCTGAGCTATAGGGTATGCCATGTTTGGGTGCCAAAATAAAATGAACAAACAACTAGCTTCAACTGTCTTTTCGTTGACATCTAGGTTATTATAACTTTACTACTTTATTTATTTATTTATTTTCCTTGATTTACGGTGGTTCCTAACATTAGATTACTACATTAATTTAACGGGCCTTATGTTATGAATAGAAGTGTAATAATCCATTTAGATTCCCATTAAATTATTTCAAACGTGCTAACTTTAATAAAACTTTTTAAAAAATCTCGATTCGGCATTCTCTTACCCTTTATTTATCGTTGGTTACATGGTCAGTTGATCATAAGTTTAGCCTGTATTAAACAAATGACCAACCTTTTAACAATTCATCCAATTCTATCTTCTTCTTCTTCTTCTTCTTTTTTTCACAATAAAAGGGTGCAATACAAGGATCATCCAAGGATAGGGATGCAACTTATTTTGGTTTGAACATAATTGAAAGTGATTTCGTTTGGTGAAAGGCTCTTGCACGTACAAGAATCGATATGCCAACATTGTAGCATGTTATTAAGTGATTATACACCTGGAATGTAACATTCCCGGTTCTAAAATTAAACACATTAATCATATAAGGAAAATTATGAGGAATTTTTTTAAAAAAAAAAAAACATAACAAGCAATTGTTGAAATTTCTACTGAAATTTAAGTAGAGTTTCTTCTATATTAAAAGATTTCAAATTATTAATAATTTATATTGCATGCACCTTAAACTCATTTCTCAACCATATTATCATCATTGTGAGTCTTAACAACAAATTATTCATAGGCACAAATATATTACATCATTTTTTCATTTTGTTTCCTTCTACACCATAAGTTGTTATACTTATTTACTCCCAACAATAAACATACAAAGTATTATTACATTTTAAGTCATATAATTTTTCAAGACAAAATACATTAATATTCATTCCGTTTCTAGATTATACAAACGAAGATTGGACCTAAAACAGTCCTCCTGGCATAAATGTAATGGTCCTGCAATTACATAATGTTTAAGGCAATTATGTTAAAAAAAAATATTAGAGAAAGGAAATCACACAATACATATACATATAAATATATACTTAAAGGTGCGCAATCGCAGTTTCTTAAAATTCTCATTAAAATTTTTTTTATTTTGTCTCCATTTATCATTCCTAAAATTATTCAATATTTTTATTTGTAATTATTATCAATCTTATTTTATCCTTTTTTTTTTAAATACCAATTGAGCCACCTCTTCCCAAATCTAGGGAGGGCAATGCCAATACTAATGACTTTCATTAATCTCATTTGTTGCCTCAATCAGGTCTAATTAATCAAATCCTTAAAAATATTGATATCAATATAACTTATTGATGCCATTAACTATTTTCAATCTGAAATAGTTAATTAGTATTTTATAAATACCTTAAGATATTTTTGAGAATGTCTATGTCAGAAACTCTACATCATTAGCTTTCACCTTAGAAAAACTAATCAAATTCCATGAGTTTGCTACTACCGATGTTAGCCGTTGATATCATTAATTTTTTTTAATTCAAATAGTTAATTGAATTTTGGTGGGGTTGTAGGCCTCGTATTTCAGACACTTGGCGCTGGGACAGCCAAGCCCTGGGTGCCTGCGCTTCAAGTGGGGCTGCATGCCATAATCTGCAGACATATGACGCTGGAGCTGCCCTGAGCGCTGGGGCCAAACCCACACATATGACTGCAGGCCCAAGCTAGCGAGTTTAGGGTTGTCCTAGGTACTAGGGCCAAACCCACATATATGGTTGCAGACCCAAGTAAGCGGGTCTTCAAGCCTTAGTCTTGGGTCCTGTGTTAGGACCCGATGCTATTAGGTCCAGTGTTAAGACGTACCGCGCATTAGTCCTAGTCAAAACCCATTTTGCTTGGATCTTGTGTAAGGATCCATGTCTCTTGAGTCCTTTGTTAAGACTCAAAGTTCTTGGGTCTTGGGTTTACTAATATAATTATTTATGTTATAAATATTATTATTTTTTATAATTTAAAGTATTCATCTAAAAAATATAATTGTTTGTGTTATAAATGTTATTATTTTTATTATAACTTAAAGTATTCATATAAAAAATAGTATAATTTGTGTTCAAAATATTATTATTTTTATTATAATTTAAATTCTTAATTTAAAAAATATTATTATTTATTTTATAAATATTATTATTTTTTATTATAATTCTCTTAGGTGTTCTAGACTTAGAACCAATTGGCCTTGGGTCCGCATATAAATATTATTATTTATATTATAAATATTAGTATTTTTATTATAACTCAAAGTATTCCTATAAAAATATTATAATTTTTTTTAGAATTATTATTATTATTATTATTATTATTATTATTATAACTCAAAGTATTCATATAAAACAAATATAATTATTTGTGTTATTTGGGTCTAGGTTTCTAAATATTATTATTTGTGTTATCATTATTTTTATTTTTATTATAATTAAAATTATTAATATAAAATTGTTACTAATTGTATTATAAATATTATTATTTTTATTATAATTAATATTATTTATAAAATAATTAATAAATTTAAAAAAATTATTATGAATATTGAAAAAAAACCTTAAATTTGATTTGAAGGGTAAAATTAAAAATTGTTGTTGTTATTGTTGTTGTTATCATTAATAATTTTTTTAAAAAAAAAATATTATCATTACTATTGAAGAAAAACTAAAAACAAATTAAAAAATATAAAAATTTGAGTAGATAAGTTAAATAGACTCGAAACTCTTGGATCCGACATTGTAGTTAAACCCAACACTTTTAGTCTTATATTTGTTTTTGATGTTTTTTATAAAAATAAAAAGTTAGCCCATTATAGGGTTGTCTTTTCATTAGGACGCATTTGGTGTTGAAATAATGGTTAAGGAGAAAATGGTCAATTCTAGTTTTGGTAGGGTTGAAGTGCCTATGATATAGACACCTAACGTTGTAGCTTGGAAACTCTAGATGTTAAGCCAAACCCGCTCGCGATACTTAGTGACACGACTAAAAGATTGATGTCTTCTCCCAAGTGCAGGAGTGTCGAAGTAATAAATAACCCGGAAAGACCGGGGTCGAACCACAAGGAGGTTAATTGTACAAATTATAAAAAACAATTATAA